CATTGATAATGCTATATTCGAAACTATAGCGGTACTCTTAGTGATGATCTTCTCAGGAACACTTGCAATCAAATAAAAAAATGCTATTCTTGTGTTCTCTTAGGAAAAAGTATCATAGTACTTCCTCTCAATATTGGTTGCTTCGATACATCATAATTACTCTTGACCAGACCTATATATTAAGATTTATAACATAATCAAATAGACTTTCTACACAATGTATTTCAGCAATCATAGACATTTCTTATGCCAATGCGATATGCTCCTGACGGATGCTGTGTAAAACATGAAATTCAGTGACATTTCGATCTAATGTAATATTATGCTGATACCTGTATGTAGCATGTGTCAGAGTGAAATGACACATCAATGTTACTTGACGTAAATATAGTATTAATGAATTCTTTCTTGTCACAATTCAAATAAGTCAGTGTATACAATGACTACTCATTTTATTTGACATTATCTGTTGCTCGTTCTCTCTCTCTCTCTTTGTTTCTTTTAAAACAGGTACTTCACATTAGTATAGAAAGAGGTTTTAATAAAAAAAACATTGTAAAACACAAAACGAAAAACTAATGTATTCTTTTAATTGTTTAGGGTATTGTTTGATGTGAAGTGTTTACAACAAACTAAAATAACACAAACTATCATCATATAATCTGAAAGAAAAAAGTTCTATTAAAAGTTAATAATGAGAGTTCAATAATAACTGAGAATAAATTATCAATGATATTTTTCATACTTTTCTTTAACATAGAATGTCGAAATTTTTATCATTTAGTCGATCATGACATAGTAGATAACTTGTTTTAACTATATAGAAATGTATTAATGTATAGAATCTTATCGATGTTACAGAAATTAAATACAAAAAGTCATGAATTTCAGCACTCGTTTAGCCTAATGAGCTGAAACTTTGAAAAATGAAGAATCTTGCTTTGATACAAATATATGTAATGAAAATTCTAGCTTTATGTCAAGTAAAAGTATAGAAAAATGTCATTAGTAATTTATTCTCGGTTATTATTTGACACTCCTATCAGTAATACAAATTCAAAGGGTTAACTAAAATTCAGTCTAAGAAAGAAAGCATTTGGTTTTAACATGAATGTCATTACTTTAGCATAAACGAGATTGAATAATTGAAAAGAAAGCAAGTGAATCAAACGGAAATGTTCTTGTATTCACATTCATTTATTTTGAAGGATCTTTTAGATAATATTTACAATTGAGATGTTTGTGTTGTTAATTAGTAAAATTAGACATACTTGATTCTAGAGTCGTGCGCGGGTTGAACTTTCGGAATCCGAACCCAACTCGACCCGACCTGAAAATCTTAGTAGCTTATTTATGCTCTATTCTCTATTTTCTTTGAGTATAGCTATTTGATAGAGCGAAGACTTTCATAAAAGTGAAGAGTGTATATCAAAACGATATTCATAGGACCTTACTAGGTCTACAACAATATCTTACTTAGAGCTGCCAAATCTCCTAATGCCAGGAGCTGGTTTTCAATATATTCTTCGGGTTTTAAGACTTTGTACCTTGAATTTTAGTGACATTTTCAATCGAAAAGATAAACATAAAAAAAAGAAAAAGAGAATAATGATCATAGTATTAGATGAATTCAGGCACCAATCAGATAAAACGTTGTTTCTGCTTGATTTTTACAAGAACTTATGTACTTTCAGCTAAGAAGAAAGAATCATTCTGTATTTTTGTTGGATGTTTTCGCCACCAGAATAATGTGAGATCAGTTTGGTGTCAAATTCGTTAGAGATTAATCTTTTGCCACTATCGTGTCTATTTTGAAGTTCACATTGTTCTATTTTGTTTTGTATAGTTTAATGATTGACTATGAAATAAATAGTAATATAAAATACATGTAATAATCTCTGTTTTGTTTTTCTTATAAGCCACTTACAATGAAGGTTTTTGTGTTGTAAGTTAACCCTCGGATGGTATTCTCATTTTATCACACAAACGGTATTTTGTGGATCCAGTGGAAGCTACATGTAAATGACTTAGGAGAATTTGATTTTTTTTTTGTCTATTCTGCGCTAGATATGATGAATTAAAGCTTATATCATGATTTTCATCGAAGCGCGAACACATTAGTGTATGATTGTGATGTATGAGAATGATTGCATTTTTAAAAAGTTTTTGAGAAGTTATGATAAAACTACGGCTTCAAAAAGTTATCGCATGAACAATGTATATGACTATAGTATGGACAGTGAATGTCGTTATATATATAGCCACTTAGTTATATTAAAAGTTCTGTGCTTGAACAACTTTTGAAGTTTTCAGACTAGTTGTTTTCAATGAAAAAAACTCGAGTATGATTATTGTGACCATGGCCAAAGTCGATGGCAGAAATATCTCGACCAAAATATAACAAAATCCATCAGACAAAGATAAAAAACACACGATTCACTATTGACAGTGTTGAAGTAACGAATTATAGATAAATAAACTCTCAAGACAATAGAGGGCAGACGTAATATGAATAAAAAAAAACATCTGTATAACACCAAAGGTGTTAGAGAGTCCATGCAGATCCACATTTCAGTTTCTTACTGGTAAGATTTTTGTACGACATTTGATATGGCACTTATGCATCATTAGAAGACTAACGATTAGTGGAAAGATGGTTCCGAAAAGGATAGATCTTTAAGTAAAAAAAAAACGAAAAACAGTGTTTTGGGTCTCGTCGGATCTATAAAAACTGTAGAAGAGTTAAAAACTATTCAATATGAAATGTGGCTCAGCCCATCATAAAAAGAGTTCTTCGCAACAGAAAAAGGCACTGAACGACAGTAACAATAAGACCTAGAGTGTTCTAGAACACTCGAAAGATTCCTTCCAAATTTAATTTGGCCGGAATACATTTGTGAATATTCTAAATAATACGACTTTTGAGTTTTGTGCAGATAAAAATCTGTATTTAACAGGTCGATGACGATAAGTAGCGAGGTATTGAATTGCCACAGTCACCGTATGATCAGAATAAAAAAGCGTCCGTTGGTCAACTTAGAACTTTGAAAAATAATCAATATTAATGTTCTTGAGGTTATGGACATACATAATAGTGCGTTGAGACCTGTTGTCATGAGCAGCATACCAACACTATAAAGGGTATCAATTGGTTTCCTGAGTTGATCATGCCTCCTGTTCATATTATTAAGTACCAATAAATCTCATTTTCAACGAGCTTTCATTTGGTATAAAATTCATAATATACTACTCTTTGGAATAATATCATTTCCTATTTATTATCTTGGGGTACCAGTCAAGTTGGTCACCCTCATATGTACTGTCTTATTCAACTGCATTGTCGCCAAATATTTATACATGACCGAGTTTTTTTAATTTAACGACACGATGAATATCGATTTTCCTAGTGCTTCATGCATTTTTAGTGGTTTTTTCAAGTTAACCGCAACAACTAATTTATACATTAAACCAACATTTGCTCATTTTCTGAAAATGTAAGATAAATACTATTATGATATGCTCATTTATATAAATTACTCACAACAAAATAGTTAATAAAATATTTCATCGATTGTTTTCAAAAGCCGAAACAACTGTTTTCCACATCACTTCAAAACCAAAGTATTGATATTCTTTTCTAAAAGTATAGCAAAGTCCGTTAATTCACTTTGTCATTATAACTCAAATGAAATGCAGTCAGATGACTGTTGATGAATTTAATGTCGTTTTAAGTATTTGTATAAAATTAAATACTTGCTTTATCAATCTGATTAAACAGTGTATGAAGTTAATGTTTAACTACTTAATTCCTTTTTATAACGTATTCTTAGCAGAATTTGCGTAAAAAACTGGTTAAGCAATGATAAAACTATCAAACATATTACTCGATTATATTTAATCGATATAGTCATAATGTTCCTCAGACTTTGTATCAAATAGAAGAATTAAACACTGATCACATATTCCACTTTGTTGAATCTCTTTGTCTAAATTTTTTATTGTGATATGCTTTATTTTTTAATGTATTTTTTATTTTTCAATGAATCGTAAAATTTTGAAATACTAATAAAGATTAGTTGAATAATAATTAGTATTAAAACAGTCATAATATTATTGAAAAGTCATGGACTTGTTTCTCATTAAAACATATATTGTATTCTATTCTTAAGAGCTCATACAGTTGTTTATCACTTCTAACCTTATACATTTCGATTGACTGTTGATATCATTCACATTCAACATTCTATACTGATGTTTTATGCATCATCTATTTTGTAACTTCAATATGCGTAACATCATCTCATTTCTTTGCCAAGTAAGAAGACAAAGAAAATATATCATATCTACATATACACTGATTGTTATTCATGTTGGTCACCGACACGTAATTTGTCTCAATTAAACATATATATATATATATATATATTCTCTCTCAGTGTAGAAGTGAAGAACGAAACAATCTAGTCCATTTGTATTGAAATAGGCAACGTTTAAACTATTTTTAGGACAAGAACATGAGTAATGAACTAATTCGTCGAAGATGCTATATCTTTCTTGCTTCCATCAATTTGAAAGGCAATACAATTTTTCTTTCCATTTCTTAATATTAGACCTATTTACGTCTCTCTGAACAAAACTAATCATACATATTTTTGTTTATAATATTAACAACTATAATTTAAATAATTTATCATCTATCACATATTAAAGTTGAACGAACATGATTTCAATCAAGAAATAGTATAACTGTTCGCTCATGAATTGATTCCTACTTGTGAAGTTAAACAATCATATATGTGAACTTTTATTTTCATGAACAGTAAAAGTAAATGTTTTTTATTTAAAATAAGAAACATGATTTACAAGACTATCTTAGAAGATTGAAATTTAACCTGTAACACTTCAAATAGCATTGTCTTTTCTTTTTTTTTTTTATAATGAACGAGGTATAATTTATTTATTTTGTATTATATATACACAAAAAAAAAGAAAAAAGAGTTTTAATGAGATGATGATGATTCTGATAGTTTAAGTTGTTGGCGATGTGCTGTTCGTGCACGTGTTCGTCGATTTTTGAACCAAACCTATATATAAATTGACTTTTAAGATTTTTTTCTTTAGTTTCTACTATTAATTATATACCTGAATACGTGATTCTGGAACACCCATTTGAGCAGCAAGTGTTTCACGTAATTCAATATCTGGATATTGATTATGCATAAATACACTATCAAGTTGTTGAACATTATTTTGTGTAAATACAGTTCGTTGTCGACGACGACGACCTTGTGGTGGAACTAGACAATAAAAATTTTAATTCTTTCTGTTTTATTTATATGTATACAATTAAAATGTAAACGATATTTATTGTTTACCCCAATTGATGTTATATTCATATGGAGGACAGATATTATTATTATTAGCTAAATCTTTTGATGGAGTAGTAGATGATGAATTTGTACAAATAGGTAATGGTGATGAACATAAATCAATTGTTGGAGCTGATAGTTGTTCTACAGGTAATGTCATTGATGAATCGATCGCTTCAAAAAAAAAACAGATGAAAATATACATTGAATATCATCATTTCTAATATAATTTTACTTACTATTGTAAATATTATTATTACCAATTAATTGATCATACATATGAAATGAATTATTTGTATAAGTAAGATGCGGATGATAAGTATGTTGATAAGAATAATAATTTGATGAAGATTGGTGTGGACTTAAATATTCATGATTAAGTACTGGAGAACCATAGCCAGAATCATCACGATGTAATTGAATAAATGAAGATGAATTATCGTCCATTTTGCTATTTTATCTTTGACTATGTTCACCGGATAGTAATTTTAGAATCAAACTAATGATAGATGAATTATTTTTTCTATTTAATATTCTTCAATTCAAACCAATCAATACAAGAGATAATATCAATTTTTTTTCTTCTTCTAACCAATCCAAAAAAAAAACAAGAGAGAAAATAAGAATGAGAAGAAAAAAAAATTCGTCGGTATGAATGATGTTGCTTGTAGTGGAACAAGTTGAAAGGATATACCATTTGTTTTGCTTTTTCGCAGATGTTACATTTTGTCGATATCTTTTCCGACTGTCTTCTTTTTCTTTCTTTTTTTTTTTACAAAGTAGCCTTGAAAGTGTGTGACATCGTATCCGTTGGCTGTTATTACCACTTTCGATTAACACGCTGGAAAAGAAAAACAACGTGATATAGAGTTATGCCAGTGATTATTGAGCATCATTGTTATGATAAGTTTGCTATGAGAATAAACAATTGACATTATTGTTCCCGAGACAATATTAACGATGTGTAAAATTAGAACTCATTTAAGAAAAAGTAAAACACTTTGGAAAATTTATTTCACAAGAGAACAAAAAAAAAAAACATTACACAACAAATTTAACTAATCTTCTTTTACGTTTATTTCATATGAGTTTGTTGCGGTAGATGAACTAATTAAATCTCAAAGTAATTGAAATTATTTCAATTTTATATGCCGGCATTTTTATATTGTTTGTTCCTTTCAAAGCGTATCAAAATTTTTTAATACTTAAAAACAAAAACTATTCCTATCGAATTCAAATATTAATTATATGAATAATAAAAAGAATATCTTCTTATATTAAATATTGATCAGTTATTATTCTAATTTCTGATATCACTTCCATATTCTTTAATTAATATTGCTTAACAATCTAGACTATTAAATATATTGAACGTACTTTTCGAACATTAAGAATGTCACGTATTATCTTTTTTAAAATTTTCATCTTACACGGTTATTGCTCTCTTCTCAGAAACATTAGAAAAACTGATTTTCGACTTTTACAATAAACTATTCTCAATAATACTAGTCTCTATGAAGAGTTTCAAGTTGAAACGTTCGTAAAGGATACTATGATAATGACATGGAAAATATCGTAAAAATGCAATATCTCCACAAAAATATTAGGATTTATATAATGCACATAGTCTCGACTTATGAGCGATAGAACAATTTGTGGACATTCCTCGTTGAATTCTATCAAGGCTATACTCTAGTTTTTTTTTGCTCTTCAATATCAAGATTTATCTTAATTTGAATGTTCTTTTGATTTATGTATTTGAGATGATATTTCTTGAAAAAAAAAAAATCTTCTAATCTTCATAATCTATTTTGAATGTTGAATATCAACTACATGGTAAGGCTTATCTATGAATATGAATCGATCACAAACATTTTTATACTTCTGATTTCTATACATGTTTTTATAGTTGAAAATTCACTACGTTTTGATTTGCATAAAATTTTAAATTACAATACTCTTCAAAAGTCCTGACAGCATTAGAGCTTATCGAGTTCAAGAATTTTTGGACACGGACTCAGCCAAATCCGGATTCGGACAGTACCCGATGGGTTCTACTTGACATACATCGAAATTCGGCTGAATACTTCTGAAATTTTCACTTGCGATACAACTTGGACTAGTGTTTGATAGGTAAGAATATTCTAATTCAGTGAATTGATCTCGATTGTGGTAATTCAAAATATTATTTAATATTGATAATACTATTTTAATGCATAGTACTAATGAATCATTAATATTTTATAATTACATTCTATTCAATTTGATTTGAATGAAATAACTACTTACATGAAAGTTGGAAAGAGTCCTATAGTTATAAAATTAGTTTCATTGATTTATAGATATGAAAAAATTTTTTTATTAAACCAAACTCTTGTCTCAATTTATCTCAATGAAAATACAAATGATTAATAAATTTTATTTTTTTTTAAACACGATATGACAAACAAAAACAAAAAGAAAAAACAAAATTTATTCATTCTTTTTTCTAACTATCCAATATTTATTAAAAATTCTATTTGTAATTTAATTTTCATTGTAATTGATTATATTTTTTTTTGTTTTATTTTGTAAATTTAGATAAAACCAACATAAATAATAAATTTTAATCTTAAAATAATATTAATCCATTGTCGATAAATTTTTATCCACCAATTACAATCTTTTGGTCGATTTTGTCCATAAAATTTATACCATAAATCTTTTTCCCATGATTTATTAAACCATTTTAATGCATTATTATTTGCTACTAATCGTGTAAATTGATGTTTATTAAAATAATTTTCAAGTTCATGTGTTTTAGTTACACTAATACTAAAACAACATGTTGGTATTACTAAACGAGTAATATTTCGTTTTGATGCATGACCATTTAACCAAATATCATCAACACGACGTATATCATCAGAAACTTGTTTAAAATCAAGATAAATATGTGAATCAAAAAATGATGGACGAATTATATAAGCATGATTGGCAGTAACAATACCAACACGATAAATTTCCGATAGACGAAATGATTCAATTATATGATAAGCAAGTTCTTCTCTACTAGATACACCCCAAGTAAGATCATCACGAACTAAAAATTCGAAATGATAACATGAGAATATACAGTATAAAATTTCTATAGTGAACATCAAGCCTTGAAACAGACCGCTCGGCCTGATAGTTTTATCCTTTTCTTGAGATTTGGCTCAATCTTGAGGGAGAAGCTTCTCAACGCTACCCTCCTCTTGGTCATCACTTTTTATAAAAGTCGAAAACTATGAAACAGCTGTCTATTGAGAAAAAAAAATCTTTGTAAATGAAATTTCTTTCGGGCCATAAAAAACCAGCTCGATTTCAAGGTCTGGTGAACATGCGAAAGATCTTTTCAATGTGTCTACTTTCGAGAGGTTCATTTCAAGCAAAAAATAATTCGCAAGAATCGGCAAGTGTTCACATCGGAGAAGTTTTATAGTATTAACTCTCCTATTCAATTTCTTAATTCATCATAATTTCGAACAAAAATATAGACTTATAGTTGCTTGTAAATTTTATCTTATAAAAGTTATAACTTCGATTTGACACCTATATATGATATAATTTGTATTGACATATGTACTTTTGAAATTTTTCTTATCCTTACATTGTATGTATTCATAACTTTCAAGAGTGTGTTGAGGTCAATAGGATTGGAAAGAGAGAGGAAGGATGACTCATGAGACCGAGTGGAAGAGTTTTGCTAAAATTAACCGAATTTTATAGGAAGTTAAATGTTTTCTTTTAAGAAATTCGTAAGTACAAATAAAGAATAGAATACTAAAGAAAACAAAAAACTGAAATTCTCTTACTTCGCCATCCTCTTAATCCAATAATACTATTTTTATATTTATCTGAATATTTAAGTAATAGAGATATAGTATGAGGATGATAATAATGATCATCATCACATATCATAATTGCTTGTAATTTCGATGAATTTGTTGGTAATAAATGAAATTCTTTTAAAATAGGTAGAAATTTTGTTGCTGGACCATAATCTTCGTCTTCAAAATATATTCGTACTAATTTATCAAATAATTTTTCAATAATTATTGATGAATGAAATTTTTTTATATACATTTTTAAATGATTTAATGTTAGATTTTTATTTTTAATAATTGTAATTGTTGGTGATAAATAAATACGAATTTCTTTTGGTAATATTGTTTGAGACAATAATGAATGAATTGTAAATGGTAATTCATAATGAAATCGTTGTGGAGTACTTGTCAATGAAACAATAATATTTGCGGAATGAAAACAACAATAATTTAAATGAAAGACTAATATGGAATAAAAAAATAGAAGAAAAAATGATAAAAAAACGAATATAAAAATAATTGCACCAACTAAACGATAAATAGAAAGCCAACGTAATATTCTTAATAATACACGACGACATGATGAAAGTATAAAATATTTAATAATATTCATTGCACAAAAGAAATCGTACGAATACTCAGGCCTCAGACAGACCAAGAGTTCGTAGAATTAAATTGTTTTAACTCAACAGCTGTTCATACTAAATCATTAAATTACCAATAAGAATAAAGGACAAGCCTCTTTCATGACTGCAAAATGCGCAGCAGAAAATGTAAGTGCATTGATAGGCGTCACTATCGTATGTATTGCAGGGGCGACGCGAAGAGGTCAAAGTAGGGGGGGGGGGGAGTATTTCCGAAAATAGGAGAAAAGTATGGTCCAACGTAATGGGGCACCTAGGCGATCGACATTGGGTGGATGTTTTGTGAATTTTTTCTCTTCCAGTTAGACATGCACAAAAATGTTATCGCTTTCGACCCCACTTTTACATAAAAGTCGAGCTTTAAGACAAGTTTATAAATCTATAGAGAACATTTGTGTAGGCGTCTAAAAAATTCTTGAGGAGAAGAAAGCTTTTTCTAGCAGAAACATTCTCCCATTTAGGTCAGAAAAGTTTCTCAATCTTTTTCGCCACCGAAGGCGGTCACGCTCGCGACAATCGTTAAGCAATGCGACGACTATTGAGTTTCATTAGAAACTCTCGAAATGATACTAATTTTTCAAAAAAATAGGCAAACTCATATTGCTGCCGAAGGCGATAGATATTTTAATTATATTTCGAAGTTTTAGTCGTTGCATATATCATGGGATCAGTTCTCCTTTTTTTGACCAGCTTCTCAAAATCTTTTTGAGTTCATTTATTATCGACAAGATCAATAAAGCTCACGCGGTTACTTGAGAAAATTGAATGAATGGTTCTGAACTGTGTTGCCAGAAAACTCTAGATATTTTAAAAGAATCTCGGCTTGTCTCAGGCAGTAATCAAATTTTTTGTTAACTTTAGCCGTATTGCATAGATGAAATAGTTCCATCATAAAAGATCTTCACAAAATCGAAGATAGGAATAGTCCAAATCTTTCGAAATAAAAAAAAGGAAATATTCTACAAACTCTGGTAACTCGAAGAAAAAGGAGCTCTGAAGTTTACTCAAGATAAGAGACAGGTGTAGCCGAAATCTCTAGAAATCATAGGACGATATAGGCGAACTTTTCTCAAAATCGGAAAAAACGCATCAAAAACTGCCATGAAAAATTGAAGAAAACTAATCAGTAATCGTCTCTAAAATCACAGAAATTTTCTTCCAATTCGGAGAAAGTTTTGCAGCAACTGTCTTCAGAATCAGAGAAAACTAATCCGAAACTTTCTCCAAAATGGAAGAAAGCTAATGTAAAATTTTCAAAAGCAGGAGTGGATATCCTACCCCAACCCCTCCCCGCCACACACATTTTTTTATTGGTGAAGCGATCTAGTATCTTATTGGTGCGTTAACGTTAAATCGTCTCGAAAAGATGAATTAATGCTGTTTTATCATTTCTAATCGTTTGATTGGTTAATTCAGTTTTAAACCATTCGGTCTGTGTGGGATTTCAGCCGAAAAAACATATACAAATAAGTAAAACAATAGCAAATGCATATGATTAGTAGTTTGATTTTTGAAAAGGGCTAGATATAACATTCGTATCAGTAGATGGAGAAAATTTTTCTCTATCGAACTGTATATTTAGTTTTAAAAAAGCGTCTTGAGCCATGAAATCATCAAGATGCTCTGACTAATCCTAACACAGATCATTTATATTGACGTTATTATTGAGAAGGCATAGCCGAAAATTTTGTTTGAATTTCTCAATTTTTTTAATCAAATCGACCTCCTCTATTACAGAACTCGATTCTCTCTAATTACAAAGTTTCAGGAAGTGCATTTCATTGCCACAGGATACCATATTTTGTTAGGCAGATATCTCGAAAACTGTTCTTGGGCTAGAGAAACGGATTTCACTAATTGTTAGAGATCTATTACGAAAATGTACTGTGTTAATAGTATCTTTTGAAAAAGACTCTAGACACGTGGCCCCATCACAAAGTGCATTATTTGATATTGATTAGATGAGCCATTAGACTCAGCGTACATATTAAAACGGTGCTTTGGTCTTGTCTACACTATGCGATTTAATCCTGAATTAAGGAATCTGATTGGTGTAGCTACTTGGAAACACCAATCAGGTTTCTTTATTCGGTATTAAATCACATAGTGTAGATAAGACAAGACCTTTTACACTTTGAGATCCCAACGTATATGATTGATGGCAGAACGAGAAAAAGAGTTGATCGATCGAATTAATGCATCCAACAGTTAAACATACAGTTGAGGAAATCCACCGAGTCGGTAGAGACCGAAATTTCACCGGTTGAAAAATCTTCTGTGTTAATCCTGTTTTTGGCTATAAAAACTAAGGTGTCACATGCCCAGGTCAAGAAGTACGGACCGGTTCCGACAGGAAAATTTTCGAACTTTTTCGGTAAATTCCGGCAAACTTCCGGTGTTTTTCTGCCGGTTTCAGTGAAATCCAATTATTTTCGGAGGTCAAAATCATCGACCAGGATGTTTTTCTGTCAGAATGCATAAAAAAGTGCTCAAAACATATGTTATTTTAATCATTTGTTCTAAGGTTCTCTTTAAAAAGATTCATTATAAGTGTATTTTACGTACACTCCTAAATTATCTCATATTTGGAGTCATCTTTTCATCGATGAGACATGTGATTCCAACCAGCCAGATCGAACCAGTTTACCATTTCCCAACCGGTTCCAGTCCTGAGACGAATAGATCATCTATAGCTCATTCTGCATCTATATAGTGAAATGATTTCAAACAAAAATTTAGACATAACAGTGTCATATTGTCATGATTGACTCAATAGCAAATCTATTCAATCAATAGATATGAAATAAATGCGTTACTATTTCATGTACAAAAACATTATGTCAACATTCTCATTTGATATATATTCAATGCAAATATATAATTAATAAGCCTTTAAAAATGTTTAAACAATATTAAATTAATTTTTTAATACACATCAAAATAATAATTATTTAATGCCATCAAAAATATCTTTATTAAAAACAGAAAAACAAATGCTTTTATATATATGTATAAGTAACTTTTATTTATACAAAAACAAAACACGTATATATGGATTCAAGGAAAGAAAAAAAACCGATCTTGTTACACAACTTCAAAATCATCATCTGAATCTAATGTTAGAACTAGAACAGTAAAACAAATCGATACATTATATTACATATTTTGTAATATATGTTTACCTCCATGATGATGTGGTTGTTGATTATGAACATCAAATGGATTTGATTGACATATTTCAAACATTGGTTTCGATGGAAGATTCTAATACAAAAAAAAAGAAAAAGTTTTTCGTTTGAAATAAAATATTTTCTACTTGTTTTAATTTTGCAATTAAATCATCGAATTCAATTTCAGTTTTACATGCAAAAGCCTATCAAAAAAAAATACAATAAAATATACAAAATTCATGAAAAATCATATTACTAAAGCAAGAGAAGGATCAAGACCAGAAAATTTCATTCTATTAATTCGATCACAATGATAAGATATATCATCAGCAGTTACAGTTGTATCAACATGTTGTTGTGTTACATGTGGATCAAGATAAAGAAGTTCATCAGTTTCTAAATTGACAAAAAGAAAAAAATAAAGATAAATATAAAAAAATAAACAAAAATATTTCTATTACCTAAATAACCAATGAAATAATGTGCATGATTAGGTTTACCACCAATACAACCAAGCGTTTGAGGCAATCGAAAACACAACTTAAAGAAATTAAAAAAATAATTCCAAGGAATTTAACAATGAAAGTTAAAGAATCTATTTTTATTCAATATTAAATTTTATAACGACGATTTTGTTTTTCAAAAAAGAAAACAGGAGAATGATGCCAGTGGACTTCCACCGTTTCCGAGCAAAGCTAGCCATGGGATTCTTATTTCCCAGTTCATACAATTGTCCGTACTTCATTTATCTAGGACTATAGATTTTCAGTTATAAATTAATATATCAAATCAAGATTTTCCAATTTGTTTCGATCTTTGATCACTGTTAAGTACATAAAGTGGACCATAAAAGTTTAAGACACTTTTATTTTTGAAGTTTTTCATCGAAGATGAGTAGCTAGGTCAAATCCAAATAATGATTTGGGTAGCTCTTGAAATTCTCTGTCGAATAGAATATCTGTCAAATTTTCAAAAGATACTTTGTCAAGAGAGTTTTACAGAAAACCGTGACAGAAAGATTTTTCAATATAAGCATCTGAAAGAGCAAAAAATTCTCAACGGAATGAAGGATTGCCAAGCTCTCTACGATATTCTGTCACAAAGTTATAACCATTAGAAATAACGAAAAAATGCGATTTTTTTCTAATGCTTATAACTTTGTGACAGAATATCATAGAGAGTTTGGCAACCCTTCATTTTGTTGAAAATTTTTTGCTCTTTCAAATGCTTATATTGAAAAGTTTTTCTGTAAAAATCCTCCTGTCGCGATTTTCTGTAAAACTCTCTTTTGAAAATTTGACAGATATTCTATTCGATAGAGAATTTCAAGAACTATCGAAATCACTATTTGAATTTGACCTAACTACTCATCTTCGATGAAAAACTTCAAACATACAAGTGTCTGAAACTTTTGCGGTTCATTTTATGCAAGACTTGATGAAAGCAATTTTTATTATAAACGAAAAGACTTTAATAGCTTGTTGAACAAGGAAAAGTTCATTGGTCAATATTCTTGCTTCAATTCTTTTCTTTTTTTTTTGTTCTAGAATTCGTTTTCGCCTTGAAATTCAGCCGAGAGTGGAGATATGTAGGACTAAGACTTTTGATTTCGATCTTGGTCTAGAGAAAGCTATTTTCAGAATTTATTATCAAAAAAAGTTCTTCAATAATTATTTTTTAATTTATATAGTTAAGATAGATAATACTAAAAATAATGAATTAATTTCATTGAAAAATTCAACTATCGGATTTCTACTTCTATCATTTTCTCGATCGGAAAGTCACTTGATTCAAGTGTGAGAATCATTGACCTAGGAGGTTATTAAAATTAAACATATCAACATATCAATTAGATAATCATTTAAACTGAATACCTTTAGTTGATCAATATATTCTATATTGACATTTGTCAAACCTAATCTTAATGGAATAATTATAACTAATGGTTTCCAACCACTTGATGTATCATTAGATTTTTTTGTTGTTTTACGAACTTTTGAATTGATTTGACATAATTTACCTTCAAATAAAAAGTTCTTTTAATCTTTTATTAAATTATTTCAAATAAAACTAACGTATTTCATCAAGTACAAGTGTATTATCCATTGCAACATGTACATTAATTTGTCTATCAAATTCATTTGAAGCTATACGTCTAAATAAATAAATAAATTTAATAATAAATAAATTTTATTAATCATTTTTCTTTTTGTTTTCTACCTAAGTACTTGGGCAATTGTATTTGGACCAAACCATTGTCCAATTTCTTTACCTTCAGAATTTCCCATTTGTACTAAAATAAAATAAAATAATTTAATTCTTATTTTTTTTTGTTTGTTTTTATTTTCAAAATATTAAATTGAAAACATTCAGAATGATTCACCAACTCTACAAACCGATTTGATGAATAGAATATGATGAATGACGTTTATCAATAAACATATTTAATATTTCCCAATAAACTGAATCACTTATATTTGGACGCCATCGAAAATCTATTACAAAAAAACAAAACAGAACAAGAATTTCTATTATAATTTCTTCATTAATTAATATACATCTTCCTGCAGGTAAAAAAAATCTAATATAACTTTCAGCTAACATCATTTGACCACAACGCATCATACAACCCCATCCTGTATCTCTTGTGGGACCTGATGGGCCACCTTAAATAGAAAAATAAATAGATCTATGAAAATATAGTTTATTTCATTTAACTAACCAATTGGTGCAAATCCAGTTCGATATGTAAACCAAAATCTACTTACAACATCATCAAGTATTGCATAAGTGTCTATATTTTAATAAATGAATAAAACAAAAAAACAATCTCTCTTTTTTTTTTCGTTTAAAATCATTTACCATGAGGAGTTTTATATTCAATTCCAAGAATATACAGAACAGTTTCTGTATCAGCTAAACTATCACTATCAGAACCGCTTCCTTCAAACATGGACGCAGCTAAACTAAGAGCTAAAAGAAAAATAGAAAATATTTTGTTTTTTTAAGGAAAAAAATGAATTCATTTAATCTTTCTAACCCGCACTATTCATTGTTTGAAATAGTTTGTATTAATAAACATATAAAGAAAGAATATAAATAAATAATACTCTTGAATGAAAAAAATAGATAAAATGAAGAATTTGAATCAGCTGGTATTTGAATGCGAATGTTAATTGGTTGAATTCATTAGCCATTTAATAATATAAATTAAATAATCTTGAGATTTTTTTTTCGAAAAATATTAAATTTAAAATGAAATAAGAAACAAAGAAGTAATATAGAAATTTTCTTTTTTCATATAGATAACCATAGAGGACGCCACTAATCGAGTACCATGTACTCTAGCACACGGATAGATTGAATAGATCAACTCAAAAGCGGTTTCTGTACCGATGATCGTTTACATTCCAGTGGAAATAACCATTGCTCTAATCGCTGATTTTACTCCGTTTTTCACACGAAATCAAAGAATCATAAGGATTTTATCTAACATATCCAGCTGAATCGATTGCTAATGTTTCATGGAAGCCTTTTGTCGAGTTGGAACGATGTTTACTCTTTTTTTCCTGTTAATCTCAGATCACAATTAACTTTTTTGAGCTAGTTTAAGCATCGATGGATAGATTTTGTTGAGATTTATTCGATGATGCGATGTGCGCTCTGAAAAAAAAATCACCATGTCTTGCCACATGATTATTGACATGATATTAATATTGAGTTATCGAGCATATGTATATCTTTGCATATTCCTCGTTCATCTTTTTTTTTCATAGGTAATTTCCATAGATGATAGAATCCATTCTTTTGTGTTCTAGATACTTAATAGAAATTTTATCCAAACTCCACTAGTATTGCTTGGTACATATCGAAACAACAGTTCGTAAACGTTTAGAAACGACTGTAGTGAGTTACTTGTTAAAAAATACATCCTTGAAACTAAAGCTTTTTTCTGCGTCTGTGTGTGCTTCTTTTTCATCCATCTATTTTGTACGTCGCTTGTGATGATTAATCCCCATATACAGGAATGTTATTTATGTAATGCAATGGCTCGTATAATAACAGAAAACATACGTAGGATGCTACCAAGAGTGCAATTCAAGGAATGAAAATAAGCCGTATGAGGCAAAACATGGTGTAAATACGACCCTTATGCTGTGCATCGACGGTTGGCTGAGAACGAGTAAAGATGTGTGTATCCCGTAGGAGCATCAAATACTAAGTGAAACTATTCAAATCGTACAATTATTGCTGTCACGACTATTTGTTGGCGAAACAGACGATTACATATCTTGTTAGTTAACCATGAAGTGTAATTTATTGAAATTGAATTTTCTTCGTAAATATTAAAGGATAGTTTATCGTCGAAATATGAAACAATAAACACGATTTTATTTCATTAGAAATCATATGAGAAAAGAGATATGGAACTAGATCGTAACTTTTATCAATACTTTTGTAATCTCTTCCTATAATATAGGAACCTTCTTTTGAATGTTAATTTGTAAGACTGGTTATAACTGTTAAAATTTTTAATAAAATCCAATATGTAAAAAACGATTATCTGCCATACTTAATTTCCTATTCTTATAAAATAATCCACCATAGTATTTATTCATAAGATAGTGATGCGTCAGTTATATCTAATTATAGATGTTAAATCGAAAATGAAACAACTCATGTTCTATAGCTGAAATTTTAATCTTATTGAAAAGTTTATAAAGTCGATAGTTTCTCTTAATGCTGCATCCGTATGTTCTAATTTTATTAGAATTCGTCATAACCGAAGACTAGTAAAAGAAAAACTTAATATTTATTAATAAATGTATGACTAGTAAATATAAAACAAAAAGAAAAAGAATGAGAGAGAAAAACCAAAGAATTTAGGCTAAAATAAAAAGAATTTCACCATTATTTTTTTCTCCAATTATTTTCGGATATTCATTTTCAATATTTAAATTCATTGAATCAATTGATGATAATGTTGATATTGTTTGTTCATGTTTATCAATAATAAAAATTGATTGATTAGAATCGATATCTTTTTCAATATTTTGTTTTAAATTTCGAAATAAATACCATATTAATAATACAAATAATATAAATACAAAACTTATTAATAAAATTAATATAAATATTAATTCATTAAAATAATTATTATTTCTTAATGATTTAGAATATAAACAACGTTGAGAATCAATTGTACAATTTTTTGTTATATCAATACAATATTGTTTATCATGATAAAGTTTTATAGGTAATGTACCAGATTTACATCGACATGTTTTATCATAACATATTGATGTACGTTGATTACATGAATAACAATTTGTTAATATTGAACTTTCATATTCAATACGAAATGAAAATATTTCATTTGATTTTAATTTATATATTGTTGAATTATATTGAAATGAACAATTTGATAATAGAAGATTATATTCACCTATATAAAGTAATGGCACATTATTCATTGTTAATATTGTTTTTAAATTTAAATTTGTTCGTGTTGATTCAGAATTTTTTTGAAGAATATAATTTTTTATTGTTGATGAACATTGTGTAAATGGTAAATACAATGTTGATGGAAGATTTTTTGTTGATATACATTGAACAAAAAATGGTATGACGGCAACTAATCGTGATGAATATGTATAAATATGACCAGGAATTAAGGATTTATTTGATGATAATGAATAAACAGCTTGTATATGTAATGTACGAGAATCATTTGATGACCATAACATATTCAAATATTCTTTATAAAGATCTATTGAATATGTACAATTTTCCAAATAAACAATATTAGATGCTTGACTGAGAGTCATTCCAATAATAATAATATATATTTGTATGTTGATCATGTCTTTCTGAAATAGAATAACAGAAAAATTTTTCTGTATTGCCAAAAGCTGATGATAATAAGTATGTTCATTCAATTAATGTTTGTCTGTATTTTATACATACATAAAAGCATGCATGCATAAACAACATTCAAACAATCATACACAAGCAATTCGAACCACTTGAATTCAATGGCATACTATGTTCTTATATTAATCTATAGTCTGATAAAATCGATTACTAAAGAACAGAACAATTGACAAGAAAATGAAAAGGATATTATTATTATTATTATTGTTTAATTTCTATGGTTCACTGATCAACTAATCTTTTTAATCTCATGACAAAAAACAACAATAACAAATTTCATTGATACAAATCTACATACTTTTACAAGAGCAATACATTGAACATTTCCATACATTTATATGTATAAAGCTCATAAATGACAAGCTAATGTAAGACAGCTTGCAGGCATCGAGAAGAAAAAGAAAAACGATTGTGTGTATGTGTGTATGAATGTCTATGTTTAATCTCTTTCGCACATTGTGATCCTATGCATATGTGTACATATGGCACCGAGAATAGCCAAAAAAAAAAGAAATTTCGATTAGCTTTTTTTTTCTTGTCTCTATACATATATGAATGATTTCACACTCATGAAAACACATATATTAGTATGAAAATAGATTCTACAATCGATGTAATTCGAGTAGATGATGACAAGTAAAAAAAAATGTATATAGCAAATCGATCAATTGTGAAATGAACTATATAGAAAAGTAATTAAAAAAATTGATATGAGATTAAACGACAAAAGAAAGGGAAAAAAAAAAGTAGAGGTGAATAATGAATTGTCAGTAGACATGTTGACATTTGAATGATTGAAAGTGAGGAGGAGAATTGGGCATCATCTGTTTTGGGACTATTCCAGTAGGTATTTATCATTTTTTAAATAGCCTCAAGCAATTGAACACATAGACAAGAGAAAAATAAGTTTAATATTTTATACAAATGAATTAATGAATAGGAAAAACGTTTCATTGCTATTTTCAGAAGAAAATGAATGTATGAATAATACAATCTGATTCAGTTCATTGCACATATATTTTCCTTTTTTTTTTATTTGAAGTTAGCAAAAATCAATACATGTCATACATTTCTTTCTTTCAAGAAAGAAAATCAAAGAGAGTCTGTCTATGATATTGAATTCATCAGAGCCTAAAATATGAATTTGATTTTAATAGGCAAATGTTTTTTTTTAAGAAAAAACTTTGACAACTATGTAATTGAAATCATGTAATTTTTCTTTTTTGAAATAATACTCTGTATTCTAAACATTGTTAATTATTAGAATTCAAGTTTGTGTGTTATAAAAAGTTAAACTTTTATTCTACATATGGATAAAATCATTCTTTAGTAACATCGCAAAATTAAAATTTATGTATTACATGTATGAAGAATTATTCTAAATATCCAGAAAAAAAACCAACATTAGAGAGACGTTTGTTCAGAAGAGTTATTATTAAAAACAAAATAGCGTTAACGGACATTGTCTTTCACTGTATACATTTTAGTTTAAAAAAAATTCTGAATTGACGCAGAATTTTTGCAAAATAAATATTACATTCTGTAGACAACTTCTGAGATTATGAAATCTCTTTGAATATCCAAATGAAAAAATATTCTTATAACTGAATAAGAAGTTGAAAACCAATTACAAACGGTTTTTAAGAGGAAGTTTTCCGGAAGTATTCGATCTTGCTAAAAATTTTATCAAAGATACAGTTCGTGCCGTAGAGTCTTTCTGAAGTTTTCCGGTTTTCCTTTTCTTGTATGATGACAGAGATATTCGCAAATTACTTTATAATTAATAGTCAATTGAAAGAATCAACATTTTTACATATGTCTATGCTAAAAAGATTTATTCAGAAAAATAATTTTTGTAAAGAATCAACGTCAAATGAAAGATGGGCATATCCTATTTTGCCTGAAATGACTCATATACATTTGTATACTCAGAAAAAATTGCTTTTAATGAGCTGTTTTCTTAGACAAAAATATGATATTATAGAAAACATCACAGAGTAAAGGTAAGGTTATCGTCGATCAGTAGTTGCACTTACATTTTATTGAGAAATAATAATATGAAATGAATACTGAAAGAATATTTAGTGATTAAAAATACTGTTGCTCATTGCATATTAATATTTCAAAATGTATAGTTCATTTTGATTTTGTAGCTATGAGGTACATTCTATTAGATGCTATACTCATTGAACTCTAGATAATGATTAGTAATCGAATACATAATTTATTATCGGTTGAGTTTTCTAATTAGCCGTTTTTCTTGTATTTGGGGATTTATGTTTCGTTAATTATTTGAACAAAGAAAAATGAATAGTAAGGATAAGTGTAGGGTTTGAGAGTAAACGTATGAGTGAGAGTATAGGGGAGACATTTACCCTGACAGAACTACATGATGTGGATAAGCCCAAGCCTACCTTAGATTGTCGCTTTATAGACTAAAATACTTTTTTTTTCTTCTATCAAATTGATAGATTTAAGCAGATAATTTGTAACTGTTTCTTGGTCGAACAGACTTAAAAAAATGTTTTTGAGGAAATATTGAATTTTGTATAAGTAAATATTGGATCACACATTGGCAATGACTTGAAGTGGAAATCTTTCTCTGAAATAAGATTTACATACCTATTACACATTTTCAACAGTGAATAAGAATTACAATGCAATATGGTTTTTTTTTTATGTGAGCATGTCTTCTTCACTATTTGAACTAAATGGCATTAAAAAAAAGCTCGTCTTCTCTCCTCTTTAACTTCTAGAAGCAGATCTTATAAAAAATGTTGAGTCTACCCTAGAATCAAAACGTACCGCTGCTTATAACCCGAACTCATTCTTACCTCATCTTTGTTCTCGTCAGTCATTTTATTCATTTCTTTTTATCCAAATGATTTACGGAAAGTGTAAATCCATCGATAGTGAATCATGTAAACTATTAGTGGTATATATTGAATGTCAGACATATCTGACGTTTATTATATACGGTTAACATCAGTAGGCGTTGCATGAGTATTCAGTTTTGATTAAAATTATTATAGAATGAATTCGTTTTTTTTGTATATATTTTATTAATGTTGTCATCTGACTAGGAGATGACACTTTCATTTTCCTTTCCGAAAAAAGAAAGGAGACAAACTGGAACGATCTTTCCTGTTGATATAGTCCGCTATGAATAATAAAATATGTTGTTTGTGCATTTAAAAAGTATTTCGACTCTTGTACAATAACGATTTTTTACCTTTCATCTTAACTCGAATTTCTCTCAAGTACTTAACACAAGGATAAGAAAAAAAATTCATTCTTTTCATAAACAGAGATTGAAAATTTCATTGACTAAATCATTTACAATTCAAAATCAGAAATTTTATAAATATTCGAACATTGAAATATTTTAACTTTCACTTTTCTTTTTCTTTATGAAAGTATCACCCGTATACCTGATTATATATAATAAAAATTGAAAACTTTAAATTTAACATAAAACTAAAATTTACATTTGCATTTTTTTTATATAAAAAAGAAAATGAATAATATAAAACATTTACATTTAAACTAATGAGATATTTTAATACAAAAAATTTTGGATTATTTACTCGTCGAAATAAAAATCGATTAGATATATTTTGACATACTTTTGATAGACTTATATCTTCATATATTGTACGATAATTTAATTGTTCTATATCATAATTAATCGATGAATATATTATCTTAGATATTCCGTGACCATTAGCAGTTAATGTAGAACATGTATTTAATTTTATCATTTTTCTATGAAATTCAATATTATCACTTGAAATAGGAATCATATCAGATTTCAAATGAGATTGTATTTGATATGGTTTGATAAATTGTAAATGATTTTGTTGAATATTAAATAAATTTAATATTCGATTAAATCGTTTTTCATTTATAATAAATAAATTTGGTTTTGTACGTATTAGTGTAAATCCAAAATTGTCAAATATTTTTTTAATCTATATATAATTTATAATTAAATCAAATACCTTGACATCTATATTTAGATGTTAATAAATATTGATATTTCATTAAATGTACAGCAAGATTTTTTTTGATAATAAAAATATTGTTTTAAATAAAATAATTCATTCGAAATCAAAAGAGATTTATAATAAGGATAAAGATCTTTTGTACAATAAGGTATATTTAATAAATCGAATGTTTTAATCATTTTTAAATCAGGAAGAAAGACACAAAAAAAAACAGATGTAAGAATATTTGATATATATATGCTGTCATAGTAATAGAGAATATTGTATTATTATTATTTGTTATTGTTATCTATAAACATTTTCTTATACATCGTTCTTCACCCATGGTTAACCATCGACGACATAAACATCGTCGTGTACAACATTGTTCATCATGTGAACATATCATTGGTGATAATCGACATGATTCACCTGAAAAAAGTCCATCATAACCATGTTGTAATGCTTGAGTATAATGAAATACATCAGAACTGTAAGATGTTTGATAATTTATAAAACGACTTAAACCACGTTTAAATGCTGTTCGTACGAGATCAGCAATACCACTAGCTAGAAAAAAAAAACAATTTTTATTTTACTATAAAAAAATCTATTATAATATGTAATGATAAATTTTTAGAAGTTTCAATAATGACTTACAATAAAATCGTTTATTGACAGCGTCAGTTTTTTGAAATAATATATTGATGTAAAGTATACAAAATGTTGCATGAATAATAAAGGGTCGACGCATCGTGTTGCCAATCAAAATTTAACCTTTTCAATGTGATAAAATTGTAGTTTGTCAGTTGTTATACAGCACTAATCAAATGTCTATCTTTTTTTTTATTGTCTATTACGCATAGAACAAACCTTTATTTTTTTCTACAGTGAAGAATTACTATTACAGTTAGTTATCTATAACCAAGAGAAAAAAGAAAATGATAATTGCTAAATAGAAAAAAAAGCAAAGAAAAGAAAAGAACAAGTAAGTTTGCTTATCTTTTGTACTAATACGTATGGGAATTTATTTATCTTTTCTATTACCAACTGGAATGCAATACGAACATTTAATAAACAGTAAATGAACTAGAGAAAAAAAAACGAATGTATGCCAATAAAAAATCTAATGACTATTCTGATACTCGCTTTCGTTTACGTTAGTTGTAAACGAAAGAAATAAAAGGTTGGCATACGTGGTACACAAAAAAAATGACTATTCCCTTTGATAATCGATGAAAGTTCAAGAAAAAAAGAAACAGACAGCTGTAACCGACTAGTAATTTTCTTTTCTTTCTATTCTGTTTCTAATGAATGCAACAAAAAAGCTTTTTTGCTTTCGTTTTATGTATTATTATGAATAGAACTGCATGTATAGGGATTGCAATCAATAGAATAATCAATTTTTTTATTCGTCATAAGTCTGGAAAGAGTCAGACGAATATATATGGTAAAGAACAGAATAACATTTTCAGTTCGCGTATTGACGAGAAAATGTTAAAATACGACATTCATTTTATTTCTATGAAACTTTTCAAAAAAAATAAAATAAATATGATTGAAATTTTTGTTTAATTAATAAAAAACATAATAGAAAAATAACTTAATATTCAAAAATAGTTGTTTAATTATGTAAGTCATTTGATCAAAATGAAATTTTCGCATATATATACATTGTTAAAATAAATATAGTATTCTAAAAGATTCTTTATAATGGATTAATATTGAAATTAAAATTATATTTAGTAAATCCTGATAAATAAAATAATTTATAAAATATAAATTCAAAATAATATTTCTACTTTGATTATTTAAAAATATTTTATAATCATTTCTTTTATCAATAAACAGATGATTTTATTGAATAATTAATCTATATCGACTGTTATCTAAATTGATTCTATATTTATTTAATCATGTAATTTGAGAACAAAATTTGAAATACCAATTGAATATTCCTTTGTATTTCTTTAGAATCTAAGAAGAAATTTCAATATTCAGAATCTATCAATAGGATCGTCCGCAAAATAATACAATCGGTCTTGATATTGATGAATGTCAGTCTCGATTTAGGTATGCACCAGTTCCAATTCCAATTGGTTGACTAAGTACTAGTCCGCCTGAGTACTCAATCGAACTGTGTACTACTCAGCTCTATTGAATATTCAGTAAACTGACCTAGATTTTATTTGATAATCAATATTTTTGCTTTTGACTAAAGGTTTTCAGGGTCGAGGAATCCGAATCGGTAATCAATTTCTTAAAATTTTGAGTTTGAACTTTTTTAACCAAAACAAAGTCAAACTTAAAATTTTAAGAAACTAATTACAGATTCGAATTCCTCGATCCTGAAAATCTTTAGTCAAGTTTTATACCCAATGGTAACCTTTCTCCCCTATTCCAGTAAGGAAAACCGCTCATACTCATGAGCATGAGCATGAACTGTACATTCCACCGAAACCACGATTTAGACCGAGAGTCTTAGTACATTTATAATTACAGTTTCAACAAAAATTTATATCACTTGCATTGATTTGATAGATCCAAAAACAAACATATAGAAAATCTTTTATTAAATAAAAATTCAAATTATTTAACTATAAAATTTATTAGAAACTTTTATCGATGTCAAAGTCAAGAGATTATTTATGTTAGGTCTTTGTAAATCAAATCCAGTGAATTCTAACCTTTAACAAAGTACTAATAAAAATACAAACTAATAACACTTAATGATATGAAACTACGACAATGTCGATTATAATGAATACTATTGTTGCTTTTAGCCTAAGGACAATCAACAACATATCTTAATAGCTATGAATAATTCTGGTTTTTGTAATGATTAGGTCTATTGAAGCGGATTCTTACATTAACAAAAATAGCAAATAAGTATTGAGTACTTATAAATATATATGTAAGCATCATATACAAGCTAAATTATGCAATATTAATGATAGACATATCATGATAAATAAAATCAATAAGGTCATAATTCGTATAATAGAAATAAGTCTAGTTAATGTATCAATATTTACACAGCCTTTATACAATTTCCTGTTATTCTCATTGAACAAGAAAGTTGTCCTTTAACGATTAAATAAAAAGAATAGATAATCCAACAGATGGAGATCAAATTGATAAACAGATAGTTTTAAAAGTCAATTACTACAAGCAAGCATTCGTGCACATCCTTATTATAAGTTTGTTGTTTGCTACTGTCATTAACATTTGTTGACATTCCCTCCTTTGATACTGTTTTTTTCCTGTTATTATCTTTTATATAATAATAATGATAAAAAACAAATAAATATTGTTTTGAAAAAAAAAAAAGAAGATATTTTTTTTTTCTATATCTAAATCTGCGTCTCTACAATTCTAAATATTTCGTGAAAACCAATAGTTTTTCAACAATGCTGATAGATTTGTCTTTTTTTTCCTGTTTTTCTCATCATAAAACATTCTCGTATTTAACCTCAAGCAATAAATCTTATATATTCACTTCGTACAAGAAAAAAAAAACCAACGAGAATATTGATCTATAATATGTTTTCCATTCTCTTAGTAAAAACGTTGAAAGAAACAAAAAAAAAAAAGAGAATGTAGCTGACATATATGCGTCATAGAAAAATCTTTCTGATGATAATAAATGAAAAAAAATTAACTTTTTCTAAGCATAATATGTGACGACATCAAAATGTAAGCAGGTGATAATTAAAGAAGAAAATAAAATGAATAAACATGCAAGAAATTCATTAATATAAATAACTGAAAGAAAAGAAACTACTTAGAAAATCATCCTTATTGTTGAATATTAATATTTGGTTTGAAATGTGTGTTCTATTCTTTTTTTTTTTTTGGTTTTTCTCTTGTGCTCATATTTTTACAATAAATGTAAAATTTAATATGCATGTAACACTTATCGTAACCTGCACAGTATGTTACTATTGGTATTTTAATACAAGAGTCAAATTCCCTAAAGATAGACAAAGAGCAAATAATCTCGTTGGTCGATAGACATGAAATAAAATTATTAACTATATGAGAAAACATTTTTTTTTTCTTGTTGTTTTAATCATTCACATAAATATTCTTTATTTTTGTTTAATTGTTCTAGACAAAAACAAAGTCGCAATATTTCATTTCATTATCTTATCATAATCATTTGATTGATATCGACTCATAATTGATATAATACATATGTGCAAATAATAAATATCTTCGAGAAATGTGTTTTTTTTTCAATCGATTTCTTTCTTGCTCTGTTGTCATTATATATTTGATCAGGAAAACAATGAGACATAAGAATAATCATACAATATTCTCTTTCTTATTGCTATTTAGCTTAGGTCTTTTGATGTTCTTTCTTCCTCTCTCTCTCTCTCTCTCGCCGGTTTTTCTTCTTCTTGTTCCATATTTCGCTTGTTTTCTTTTTCTTGATCGACTATTTTAGGATAATAACTACTAGACTAATGTATACAAAACGCTTTTCTTTTTTTTTTGTTTCTGCTTCTTGCAATGAAATTTCATTTAATTATTTGATCATCATTCCAGAATAAAAATTTTTTTTAGATAAAACAAAAAAAAAAATTTTGTTTTCATTTATGGGTCAACGTATGACACGCCGACAAGTTGAAGAAGGTTTAAATTTATATGAAGAAAAAAATTATGATGCTGCTATTAAAAAATGGACAATATCATTACAAAAAATGAAAAGTAATCGACTTCGATTTTCTACACTTGGACATTTAGCATCAGCATCACGCGATCGTGGACGTAATAAAGATTATCTTGTTTATGCTGTACAACAAATTGATATTGCACATGAATTAGATGATAATAATCTTCGTGCACAAGCTTATTTAACATTAGCACGTGCTAATGAAATGCTTGCTGATTATTTTAAAGCAGTTAGTTATGCACGTTCAACACTTCAATATTCACCACCAGGTGGTTCTATACAAGGTTATGCTGTACTTACTATGGCAGATTCTTATATAGGTTTATGTAATTTTTCTAAAGTAGTCGAATGTCTTGATAAAGCTTTAATTATATCACATGAAAATGTAGATCATTTAATGGAAGTTCAAGTACTTAGTACAATGGGTAAAGTTTATCTTGCATTAAAAGATTTTTCAAAAGCACATGCATATCAACGTCGAGCACTTGAAATGGCTTTATCAAATGCTGCATTTAATGATGGACAAAATGTAAATGTTACATCGAAATTTGTTCGTTTAACAAAATTAAAATTAGCTACACCATTAAGATTAATGGGTGATTTTGAAAATGCAAATAAATATGTTGAAGTAATAACAATATTTATGAAAATTTTTTTAAGATTTCTACAGAATAGTTATTTTCATAGGAAGCAATGGGAGCAGCATCTAGTCTTGGAGATCGACCAGTTCAAGCTAAGTGTCTTGTATGTATCGGTGATATACAACGTTCGCAAAACAATAATGAGGTAGGTAGGGAGTCATACACAAAAACAAATAGACGTAAATATAGTGATGTTCGATCGATAACAAGCAACCTCCTGGTGTGGCATACATACACATATTGCCATTTAATAAACATGTGCTCTGATTGTGATGTTTTATGTCTATCTTTTTTTTTTATCTTTATGTATCAAGGTCGCATGTAAAAAATACGAAGCAGCTATTCAGATGTTACAAGATATGAACGATCGATATAGTTATACACTTGCTATGATTGGTCTTGTTAAAGCATTTTTGGCACTTAATACACAAAAACAAACGGTAAGTAATCAATAATATTTAATAAGATTTTTCTTCTTATGATTATGATTATTTTTCCCCATATGAATAAAAGAAAATTACAAAAAAAAAGTATGTTTTTGTTTTTGAAATATATATATTTTAATAATATTCGCCTATTGTCAACTACTAATAGTTAGTAATGGCATAACAATTATATATGATGAGAATGTCAAACTTTATCTTGTCTTCTATTTATGTTTTCGATGATATTTATTTCATCTGTTGTCTTTATAACAAGAGAACGAGGATAAGATCAATTTTAATGATATATTTGTTATACTATAAGCAACTGAGATAAATATTCCTTTTAACGATGACAATTTAGAAGAAGCATTATGATATATATATAAGTGACATCAATCATATGACCTTTGATTGAATGAATTTATAATAAAGAGTATATTTATTTAAAGTTTAAATCTATTATAATTAAAAAATAACATATATTCTTTTGAAAATGAACAAATTAATTGTATAATCTATGAGGATTTACGAGAAATTAAATTTATCTCGTTTTACTTTTTATATGATTGTCAAGCTACTATGACTTTTCACCTTTTAATCATCTTGAGTATGAGATAGGTATGCATGTTTCCTTCATCCACAGATTCAGATAGATGTTCGTCCTTCTTCCAAAAGATACAAATCCTAGATCTACACCTAAAAAGGTTAAAGAGATTAAAACGGGGCAATGTATTCTTTCAACTTTAAAAAGCGTGTAAGCATAAAAGTAAAACGAGATAAGTTTGATTTCTCGTGAATCTATATAATGCAACAAAAAATAAATACTTTTAGGCAAATGAAATTCTTGCAACAGCATTATCAACATCAACATCAATGGGTAATAAATTATTACAAGCTCGATGTCATTTATTAAATGAACGTATGCTTAAACTGGATCATCAATTAGAAGAAGCTCGACGTGTATTAGATACAGCTCAACGTCTTTATCAAGAAGCAGATCTTTTATGTTCTGTTTGTAAAACATCAATGGGTATGCAACCCGATCGTATACAAATTTTACCATGTACACATATGTTTCATGAACGGTAATAAGAATTTTTTGATTTTTCTTTATTATTAAATTATCCTCATTGATTAGATGTATTATGGATTTATTACAAAAATGGACTCATCAAGCACAACCATGTCCAAAATGTAATCAAAATGTTTTATTTAGTAGAAGTTATATTGCGTTATTGTGTTCTTGATAAATAATTTTTCTTTTTTTTTTTTTATATTTCTAATGTCGAATCTCGGTGAACTTTTGTATAAAGCTAATCATATGTTAAGAGGAAAAAAAATGAATCACAACAATATCAGAATAAACTAATCACACACTTCTATTGCTTATTTTTTATAATTATAAAAGCCAGCACCAGTTTTTCTGCCAAATTTACCTTCACCAACAATTTTATTTAATAATTCACTTGCTTGAAATGATGGTTCATTAGGATAAAGTTTTTTCCATCCATCAACAATATATTTTGATGTATCTAAACCTACGTAATCTAATAATTCAATAGGTCCCATTGGATAACCAGCACCTAATTTCATAGCTGTATCAATATCTATAAAATAATATATTATAAAATCGAAAAAAATAAAAATAAAAATAAAAATAAACTTTGATATTTATTTATTACCTTCAGGTGTAGCATCACCACGTTCGATCATTCGAGCTGCTTCAAGAAGATAAGGTACTAATAAACGATTAACAATAAAACCTGGTGTATCCTATAGAACAGATGAGAAACAATTAGCTGTTAGCAATGTAACTTCGTAACAGTAAAACAAGTGTATCTCAGAATAATGAACTTTCCTAGAGCGAATTTTTATATATTACATAAATGTTAAGTTACTCTAGATACTCTGAAAAAATTAGCATTAGAGATCTTTATTTAGAGGAGTTATCAGAAAAAATCTAGCGTTAATCGTTCGCGACGTGACGAAGTATGAGTATACAAACAAGAAAATGCTATCATAACCGAATGAGAAGTTCACAACCAATTCCAAACAATATAAATCCTTCTTCAAAATCTCTAGAAAATCGATTTTCAAGAAAACATTTTCCAGTAGTCTAATCTTGCTAAAAATTTCACCAAAGATGCAGTTCGTACTATAGAATCTATCTTGAAGTTCTCGAATTTTTTCTCAGATGATTAGAGAAATATCCGATAATTTCTTTTACATTAATTACTTAACGAACTATTGCCTAATGCAAAATAAAGAGCGAATTATCATTTTTTAAATAACTTTTGATAGGAACAAGATAGAGACCTGCAATTTTCGCCATTGAAGAAGCTATTTTCATTTCAATTTTGACTCTTATTAGAACTAATCGGCAGAAAAAATTCTTCTCTTTCGATTTACGAAAGGCCAACATTCCGAGTTAGTTCCGTTCGAGAGCTATAAGACTTTTCTTGAGACCCTCGGTTTCAACCAATTGACGTGTGATCACTCAGAACAGCAGCTTGACAGAGATATTCATCATGCTGATATTTATGTTTAGATTCGAGCTGATCTCACTTTGTTATCTCAATATTTCCGAAATGTCAACTCCTTTACATGGAGGCTGATGATGAAATTTCGAAAATATTGAGATAACAGAGTCAGATCAGTCACACCTAAGAACAAATGTCACCATTCGACTCAGCATAGTGAATTATCCCGGTCTAACCACTTTTCCGGATGACCACAGAGTCCATTGGCTAAAATCACGAGTTTCAGGAAAAGTCTTATAACTCTCGAATAGAACAAGCTAGAAATGCGGGCCTTGCGTAGATCTAAGGAGAAAATTTTTTCCCACCGATTAGTTTTAATAAAAGTCTAAATTGAAAGGGAAACAGATTTTAAAAAAGTTAAAAATCTAACATACCTTGCATGATACCGTTGTTTTTCCTAATGCTTTACCAAAATTTAATAATGTTTGAAATGTTTCATCACTTGTTCCTGATATACGAATTACTTCAAGTAATTTCATAACAGGCCTAAGAAGAAATTGAAATTCCGATGAGAAAAAGATTTTTTTTCTGAATATTTGTCTTGAAATAATAAAAAAAACAATAAATGTTTTCAGTACTCATTTTCTAACGTTTTGAATGGTATATATATTGATGGGCTGAGTAAATATTTAGTTAAATCTTTATAGAAAAAATCACTTCTTTAAAAAAAATATGAATAGATAGTTCGAGATTCTCCTGAATATCTAGGGATGATCAGTCTGGTCGGATGTCCCAACTAGGTTTTTAGCACATAGGTTCTATAGTACATCGGAATTTTACGATTTTTTTTACCGATTATAGTACTCGTGTAGTGCTAGCAATTCATCATTATTTCGATTATTTATCATATCTAAAATCAATAGAATCAAGCATCTTTCTAATGTTTTTTAGTAAAATGAACTTTTATCAAGCTTATCCGTGCCAATAATAACTATAAACAAATATGCTATAGTTGTACACGGACATTTTCCAAATATACAAACCACTGTCAAAGAGGCTGATAAAGAGAAAAATGTCTTTTCTTCGTCAGATATTTTCTGGCTCTCACATCTATGTAGATGCTAATCACATTAAACATATGATTCATATCCACATATCACTCTATTTCAATTGCGCAATTTCTGTTCTATTTTCTATCTTCTTTTTCTTTTTCCTTTGTTTATTCTATTACTGTGAAATATTTACATCAAACTGATACAATCAGCTAAATCTCTTTTAACGGCTTCTTCGTGACAAATTGAATGGAATTGTCCTCAATGTCAAGTTGTCATAAGTATTCGTCGTAAATATTGCAATAATTGTCAATCAATGTTAGTTTAGACGTCTACTGGTTCTAAGAAATCTAGTTTGTATGCTCATTATAGTCAACATCGTGATAGATGTGATTATTGTTCACCAGAACTTGCAGAAGAAAGGCAACAGTTAAAGAAAGAGAAACAAATTTCAAGTTTTCAAAAACTTCAAATGCTATACGTCGGTAAGCGAAACGCATCTGTTTAGTCTGCATATGAACTTCTATTTCATTATGTAGTTTATCTTGAGTACACAATAACAAAACTTCATCATATTTTTATTGCTTTTATATTGTAGATCAATGTCCATGGTCAGAGTGAAGTCGTAGTAATGATTCTTATACATACCATACGGGACGTGACATCAAACAAGTACAACAGTTATACAATATGTGTGAACGATCGCTCGTAGAATATTATATGAATAGAAATGAAACAGCATACACAAAGTACAGACATATCATTTTTATCTTCCATGAATCTATTTTCAATTACATTATGGCATTTGAAGCATTATCATTCTGAATGCTGTATAGTAGCAGAGCTCATTTCAATCAATCAACAGTCAATTATTTTCTGTCAGCATTAATAGATATTCTATATTCATGCATATGCTCGAAATTAATTTTATTACCTGATAATATAGATGATGTTAATACAATAAATAACCATGAACAACACTATAAGTTGATACTCGACCCGACATTTATTGCAATTTATCAATTGGAAGATTCCACACAAAATAAAGTATTTTATCATACAAAAAGTCCAAGCAATTGTGCATTTAAAATACAAATAACTTGTGATTTTCATCATCGAATAGTACATATATCCAACTACTATCAGAATAGTATACATGATATTACTATTTTAAGAGAACCAGACTTATTAGAATATGCACAAGCAGATGTACAAATTATTGCCGATAATGGGTACATTGGCGAACAGTACATTATTACTTAGCGAAAAAACTCGTGGTGGTGAATTAACAACTGAAGACAAAGATTTTAATCAAGCTATTTGTAGCATAAGAGCAGCTATTGAAAATACTAGTCAACGTATTAAACAGTAGGTTATTTTAGGACATACTTATAGAAGATCTTATGATGACGTCCGTAAGATTACTAAAATTGCACATGTTGTTTGTGCTTTATGTAATCTTAACTTAGATAGATATCCTATTCGTAGTTATAGATCATAGTACGTTATCTATAGTTTCTGATCGTTTATTTGTAATAAAAGTTTTTCAGTAGTTTTTCTTGTTGTTTTCGACAACAAGTAAGATCTAAAATGAATAAGTTCGATAAAAGTTCATGTTACTAAAAGAGATTAGAAAGACACTTAATTCTATTGGTTTTAGATATGGTAAATAATCGAAATAGTGATGAATCTCTAGCACTACACGAGTACTATAATTGGTAAAAAAAAATCACAACATTCTGATGTACTATGAACCTATATGCTAAAAAGCTAGTTGGGGTACCCGATCAGACTGATCATTTCCGTCTATACTTTTATAATAATTATAAAGACAAAGATTTTCTTTCTTCATTATAACTTACACTGGATTAAAAAAATGTAAGCCACCAAATTTATCTTGTCGTTGAACATCTTTAGCAATCTCAGTAATTGGTAATGATGATGTATTACTCGTAAGAATTGTATGTCTACAATATAAATAAGCATATATATATATATATGGGCATGCTTAACCATAGGGTACTCTGATTTACTTTCTTTCTATTATCAGTTAAAAAGCTAACCATATTCAGGCCAAATTATCACCATCATCGCTAAACTACTAAATCAAAAATATTAGCTGCTAATGACTGTCTTGTATGGAATTATTCAGTCCCGGAAATCGTGTCCTATCGTTTTTAAGGAACTGAATAATATTATATAAGACAGCTATCAGCAGCTACTTAGGGTTATCCAAAAGTAGTGACAGAGGTTCTTTTTTTTGTAATAGAAAGCTAGAAAAAAATTTCTTTTTTTATGAATAGATAGAGCGTTTTTCGCTCTATCTTTCTATGCTATTTGATCACTATTAAACTAGTATCATAATAATAAAATTTGGATAAGAACTATTTTTGTTGAAAACCAGCTGGTAGCATTTAGATCATCATGGATGTGGTATTTTTGCATTCCACTTTATTATCAGATAATATGTTCTATTAAAAAAACAAAATATACCAGAAGATGCAGCATGAAAAGCTCTACAATTTATAATGTACTGCTTATTTTATAGTTGTACTTTTTGTTTTAAAAATGAACAAAACTCTGAGCTACCAAATTTCGACGTTGCGAAAACGAGATTGTTTTTTTGGTAAAAGATGAATTTCGTTTTTCCTATTTCATTCTTTTATTACTTGATATGTTTTATTTTAAAAAACAAAACACACTGCAAGATGCAGCGTGAAGAGCTCTACAATTTACAAAGAGCAATGATACAATGATAAGACAAAAAAAACCAAATTCGTTTTTTTTTACCAAAAAAAGTCTCGTTTTCATCACGTCGAAACTTGGTAACTCAGAGTTTTGTTCATTTTTAAAACAAAAAGTACAACTATAAAATAAGCAGTACTTTATAAATTGTAGAGCTTTTCACGCTGCATCTTCTGGTATATTTTGTTTTTTTTAATACAACGTATTGAGTGATAATAGAATGAAATGCAAAAGTGTCCCATTTTTTATGCCACACTCATTATGATCTAAATGTTACTAGCTGGTTTTCAACAAAAATAGTTCATATCGAAATTTTATTATTATAATACTAGTTTAATAGTGATCAAATAGCATAGAAAGATAGAGCGAAAGACGCTCTATCTATTCATAAAAAAGAAAATTTTTTCTAGTTTTCGATAAGAAAAAAAAACCTCCATCACTACTTTTGGATAATCCTAAGTAATATTTTAAATTTAGTAGTTTAACGATGATGGTGATAATTTGGCCCGAATATGGTTAGCTTTTTAACTGATAATAGAAAGAAAGTAAATCGGAGTACCCTATGGTTAAGCACGCCCATATATATATTACGAACGAATTAATAAATATACTTTGGTGCAACTTGATCAATTTGTTTAAATAATTTTTGTTTTGTTTCAAGATTTTCAATAATTGCTTCAATAACAATATCTGTTGATTGAACAGCATCATTAACATTTGTAGTTGTTTTAATTCGATTTTTAACATCATTGAAATATTTTTCTCCACCTTGTTGATCTTGTTCAAATTTTTTTTTAATAATACGTTTTAAACTTGTTTGTATTATATTTAAACTTTTATCAAGAAATTCTTGTTTTTGATCAACAATAATAACTTGATGATTAGTTTCAGCAGCAACCTATATTAAATTTTTATTATTAAAAAACAAAACAAAATTCATTTGACATTTTTCAAAAAAACTTGCTTGAGCTATTCCTGAGCCCATTAAACCACCTCCAATTACAGTTACAGTTTTAATAGTTCGTCCAAGTGAACTATTCATTTTATTAGCAATTGATGAAGTAGCCATCTGAAAAAAGAATAAGTTTATTTATATGAACCATCACCTTTACAATGAGTTCTTTGGGTTTTTTTATAAATAAGAATTTAATTGTACATGAAATAAAATAACAATTAAAAAATACATTTTAGTTTAAAAACAAAGACAAAATCACTGGATAAGTGGTGTATTTGGTACACGCATACGTATTGTAGCTGGTTGAAAACAATGCATACATCTTTGAAGTTGTTCTTGATCTAAACGAGCACAACATTCTTGACACATTGGAAAATGTTGACAAGGATCATATTCATGTGTAGCTGCATTTGCTGTACATATAAGACAAGCATTATCTATAGTTTCAGAACATGCAATATTTCGACTTATTGAACGAGGTGAAAATGAATTTATTCGATTGACTGGTGGACGTTCACTTTTACGTTTTGTTGCACCTGAAAAAAAAGAAAACATATGATCTTCAGCTTCATTATACTAATACAAAATATCCTCTCACAGAGTAAAAGATCATAGCCTTTTATTTCTAGTTAGTATTTAAATAACATTTATCTAGAAAAACCAATGGAAAACTCATGGTGTCCTATTATGTCTTGTGAAATTTTTCGTATGAATGGCCTATTATTCTGAAAGGTGAAGTTTACACATAAAGTGAAAAATCTCTAGCAGACTATAGTTGTTTTTTAAGGATAATAGATCACCTTGAGAACGATCTGTCTTATTTATTTTTGCATTTCGAACAGAAAGGATAGAGGTCGATAACTGATGAAATCGATCCTGCTCTTCTCGAGAAATTTGGTTTTATATCAAACTCTCACATAAAGTGTCCGAAAGTAATTTCTAGTTGAATTAGCCCTATAGCACTTGTTGGTGCCGTGTTTTGAAGCACTAAAAAATGGTACAGATACTATTCTTAAGGCATGATTTTACGTCTGTTTGACTGGTATTTAGTAGATTTTGATGAGAAAAAGTGCAACCTGTGTGAAACTAATATGATATTCTGAATTACCATTTTAAACTGAGTAGATCTATGAAAATTTCAAGTATTTTCATGAGCTTTTTTTTTCGTTGGAAAATTTACCTCTGATTCCCCTCAGGGATAAGTCAAAAAATGAACTTCATCAAAACGCAGATTTTATTGCTTAGTCATCTATGATTTTGAGTTCTACTATCATTTCACAGCCTCAAAACTTGATTGAGACTGTCGAACTAATTTTTCGATGAATTTCACTTGTTTGACTTATCCCTGAGAGGGATCAAGGGCAAATTTTTCCATCAAAAAAAAAAATTCATGAAAATACTTGAATCTTACGTATGTCTACTCAGTTTTGAATACTGATCCAAAATATCACATTAGTTTTATCCAGGTGGAACTTTTTCTCATCGAAATTTACTAAATATCAGTCAAAAAGACATAAAATCATGCCATGAGAATAGTATCTGTATCATTTTGTAGTGTTTGAAAACACAGTACAAGCAAGTACTATAGGACTAATTCAATCAGAAATTACTTTCGAACAGGTTAAATTTTTCCATTAACGCTCTATTTTTTTTGTTTGCCTTATTGGTATTTGCTCGTTGTTTTTCATATTTCTTAATTTAAGATTATTTTAACAATTGATTCAATTGGCATATTAAGTCTTTTGTACATATTGATTATATGTGCAGCAGATCCCAATGCACACTATTATATATCTCGATAAGCTCAAGAATACTGATATTAATTATTTGCCAAAGTTTTAACTTGATCAATTCACGTTTTTTTTTTCATGTTGATCATATGACGACTTATGCTCCTTGACACCTTGAATATAAATTTTATCTGTTCCAAAATAAAAAATGTACTATGTAGAACATTTACAAACGTATTCCAGTCATTCAAATTCCAAAGAAGATCTTCATCTTGTTGTTAATGCCATTCAACACCTTTTCTCGATTGCTACGAAAACGTATTCAATGATCGTTCATCTTTCTCGTTGGTTGCTAGGATCTAGGGACGGAGAACCACAGAAACTTCAATTTTAATTTACGCTCATTATTTTCTTTGAAGATATATTTGTGTTTCACTAAACTAATAACTTACCACTTTTATCAAAAATAATACGTTTAATTTTTTGTGAACCATCTACTTCATATTTTAATCGTCCTTGTGGAACTAAAAATAATAAATTTGTAATTCAATGTAATAACTATATTATTCAATATACTTCGTCCACATTCTAAAATAATTCGATTGACATAGTCAAGACCTCGTACTTTTTGAATAAAATCACAAAGAGGATAAAATGTAGTATGTTCTTCAAATGGGCAATCACTAGATTAAATTTTAACAAAAAAAAAATTTTTTCATAATAATTTCGATCAAATAAAAAAAAAGCAATTTATTTAAATACCGTGGTTCAAAATTTTGTAATTTATTACCACAATAATAACAACAAACATTGCCTCCACCCATATAGAAAAATCCAGCTTCGGCCATCATTTGATTTGAAAGACGACTACCACTTGGATAAACCCAATCAGATGTAAATGATTTAATACGTTTTTCAATTTTCGAATACGATGGATATTCTGGATAAAGCATTTGACTTTCTAACTATAAGAAAAAAAAATCAATTTATGCCTATTGTTTTTTTGTTTTATCTTAGACAAAAACAAAAAAAAAGAAGTTTCATACCATTGTAACATTTGGATAAAGTCCACCGGCTTCTCGTCTAACCCATGTACACCATGAATGATTTTGATCCATCATTATTCCATTTGCATGTCGATGCACACGCATTGGTGTCCATGGTTCATCACTTACAGCTGAACGAGCAACAGTTGGTCGTGTACGCATTATATCTTCAAATTCTTGTTCAGTTAAATAGACTTCACACCATGGACATTGAATAGCAGTACATTCACCATTTAAAAAAAATCCAACATAAGCAAGATGTCCAACAGGAACTTGTGCAAATGTATTACGATTATGTCGTTTAAATGTATCTAAACGATTTGATTCATGTGCAAGTAAAGAACGTATATCAACTGGTGAAGAAATAGATGGTAAACATCCAATTGAAGGTGATAATTCATTTGAACCAATCTCTGCGGATATACTATCATTTGTAAGTTCATGTATTTGTTGTTGTCGTATATATTGTTGTTTAAATGGATTCATGTGTTTATTCATACTAACTGGTGTCGATTGATTATGGCCATTACTTGTGATTGGATCCGAACAAGTTTGAGCTTTTTCTGTTGTTGATGATTCATGTGATAGTATTGGTGGAGTTGGTGATTGTATAGGTGGAATACTAGGAATGAGATAGGCAGTAGATGGTATAGCTACAGGTTCGAGATCTTCATCATCTGATAGATCTTCGGATGCATCAGATAAAAAAGGTTCATCCATATCAATTGTCGATGGTACAGATATATTACTAACAGTAGTTAATGTAGGATCTGTAGTCGCTTGAGATGATATTGATGATGGTTGTGCATAAAATGATGTTTGAGTTTGTGGTTCATCTAAGAAAAATACATTAGAATTTCATTTAACAAAAACAAAACAAACAAACAAATATTTACTTGATTTCTTTCGATCATGAAGAACTTGTGCAATATATTTAACACCTAATATTTCTTTAACCCATTCACATGTTGGATAGAAATGTGCATGTAATTGTGCTATATTATATTGTGGATATTTTTCTCGTCGTACTTTATCATTAATTGGTAATGCATTACCACATTGAAAACATCGCGTACGTCGTTGATCTATAAAAACAAAAAAAATCATGTAATTTAAGAACAAAAAAAAATAATGAATAATTCTTACCATCAAGAAAAAATCCTGCTTCTGCCTTATCACGTATAGAATAATCATCAGCTCTATGTCGTTCTGGATGATTTTTAAATGTATCAATACGGTCAAATATTGATTGATATTGTGGATATTCAGGAAAACGTTCTCGATGTGGAATAGCAATATTAGCTGGACATTGTGCACGTACCATAAGACAATCAACTGTTGATCCTTTATGTTGATCATCTGTTGTTTTTTTAATTGATTGTTTAGTTAAATAACGATGTTGTGACATAATTGATTGACCAAATTTTGGTTCAATTGTTACACCACAATATGCACAACGAATAAATTTTGTATTTTTAAAACGATAAAAACCACATGCAGCTAATTCACGACATAAACGTTGATCATTTTCTGTTTGATTATAATCATTTATATTTGATTTTGTAAATGATAAACCAGTAAGTGTTTCAAGACGCCATTTTTCATTAACTGTTTGTATATCACCTGTTTTAATACTATCAATTGCACGAAGTACTTCACAATCACTGTTACGTTTACGATGTGTACCAACAGCTGTCATACCATGACGCCAATCATCAACTTCAAGACCACACATAAAACATTTTACATGTAATTCTTCACCTAAATAATAAAATCCTGTATCAACTAATGCTTGTGCTGATATTGGAGCATTTCGAGGCCATTTATCAAATGTTGCTAAACATTCATCAATTGTTTGAGGTTTCTTATCAATATTTTTCGATATAGATAAAGATTCTGATGTCATAGGATTACGATCACGTCGTTCTATTAAAATAATTCAAATAATATATTTCAAAATATTAATAAATTATCATTGATTTACCTTGAGGCGAAACTGTTTGAAAATATCCAGCATCAGCAACAAATTTAACACCAGCTGTATAAATAACAAAACGACATGGAAAAAAACGTGCATGTTCAAGTTGAACTATATTTTCATTTGTAGAACGTATTGCTGATGACCAATCAACTAATGTATTACCACAATAGAAACAAGTTACACCATCATCAGGTCCTAAAATAAGAATGATGCTAAAAAAAATGAAAATTCTTATCGAAATAAATAAAAAAACCTGAAAAATAAAATCCATGTTTAGCCATTGTTTGAGGTGTAACAAATGTTTTTTGTATTGTATTTATTTGTAATAAATCAGGCCATGTTTCAAATGATTGAAGACGTGTTGTATAATTAATATACTCAGGTTCTTCAGCATCATCCCATTGTGGTTGTTGTTGTGATGATAATGGTATATGTAGATCATCAATATTTGTACCAGATTCATATAATAAAAATGAACAACGTTTTCCAAGAAATGAAACTTTTTTTCGATGTAATTTTCGAAAATAATTTGAAGCATATTCAGAATTTTCATCAATATTATCAAGATTTATTTGAACACCACATTGTGGACATACACATTCATCTTGTCGATAAATAAAACCAGCAAGAGCTAATTGACGACGAGTTATTGATGGAAAATGTGTTAGACTAAAAAAAAACAAAAACAAGAAATAATTCGTTTTTTTTTATTTTTCTTTTTGAATTACTTCTCAAATGTTTGAAGTCGATATTGTTCCGATGAAACAATATGATCAATTTCAGATGTATCTGTTGTTGTTGTTGTTGCCATCATTAGCAACTCTGACTTAGGTTTTTACATAATGAATGAGTCAACATTATCTAAAAATATAACGAAAAGAAAATACCATCCTTGAAAAAACAAATAACTATTTTGATATGTGTTTTAGTCAGAGTGATTCTTTTATTTTTTTCTCTTCACCTATTTTTTTTTCGTTCTGCTTGAACTTAGCTTCAGGGTATACAAAATACTCTCTTGAATAGAACGTGACAAGTATAACTTTAGCTTTTTTTTTGTTGTTTGAGTGTTTTTGTCACTACGCAATCTACTTAACATTGATATTCTTTCTAACTGACGTGTGCTATATCTTCTGATCAAAAAAATGATCTCATTCATTTATAATTTCTTCAAGAATAAATTAATCTATGATAGGGCGTATTACTTTAGTCCTATTTATTTCTTAATCGTCTAGTAAATACTCAAAATAAATACTTCCAGTTCTTTTTTTATTTATATCTGAAAGCAATAAATGCCTATATTCTTTTGATGGCATAAACTAAATATATATATATGTATAGATACTCAACTAAAATTTCGACAAACATATAACATTCTAACACGTGATGCACCATGCATAACAGAAAAGCAAAAAGAAACAACAAAAAGATACCGGCATTCTTTTTTTTTTTTTTGTTTTATTAGAAAAACAAAGTTCGAATAACAATAAGTAAATTCGAAGCAATAACAACAACGGCAAAAGAAAAATTTATCGTTTGCTCTTCTTTATTGGTGGTGCAGATTTTGATCTAAAAGATTGAAAAAAAAAGAAGAAGAAATCTAATGACAATATGAATAATTTCTTTTTTTTTTACTTACCTCCGTTGAGGTTTTTCCTTTGTTAAATCATTTTCAAATGAAGAAGATTCTCGTGATCGTTTTGAAGTTTCTATTTTAATTCAAATCAAATTATTTGTCTTGTTTTTTTTTTTCCTAATGTTTGAATCTTACTCTTCTCAATTTGACGTGTTTGAAATCTTTCAACTTTTTGCATTTCAAATTTAACTCGATCATCTGCCTAAAAAAACAAAATAAACGATTGATTTAATTTTGTTGAATTTGAATTTAAAAACAAAAAAAAAAAGAACGAAAGTATTACTGTTTTTGGTATTGATTTATTTTTTTGTATTTGTTCACGTTCTTCTTTTGATAATTTCTTTTTTGTACTATTATAAGGATCTAAACGTAATTTTTCTTGTTCTTGTAAACGTTCATTACGAGTTTGAAACCATTCACGTTTTGGATTAGTATCATTTGTTTTATTTTGTTTTAAACGTTTTTCAGCTTTATCAAGCTAAAATATAGAAGAATTTCAAAAATAATTAAATATGATATTAAATAAAATTTTTTTTTGACTTGTGTTTCACATGATTGAATCATTTTTTCACCATATTCCATTTTAAAAATTTCTTCAATATCTGGTTCAAGTTCTTCAAGTTTATTTCGAAAGATTTGAATAATTTCTTGAAAAAAAAAAAAAAAGAAATTTCTGTTTGTATTTGCGAAATATATATTTCTTTTAAAAATTTACCTTGAGGTATAATACGCATTTTAGCTGGAACTTTACATGTTTTTAAAACATCTTTTAATAAATGTCGTTCATTTTCACCCACAAGTGAAATTGATCGTCCTTAAATATATAATCAATTATTTAAATTTCTAATATAAACATACTCTATATATCAAAAGAATATCATAAAGATAAATTATGACAGTTATAATACGTGTGGCATTGAAGTACTTATACTATTGGATAAATGATATCATGACTTGTAGAATAAATACCTGCCTATAATTAATCTATAGTTAAGTGGCGACAGGTCTTAAAGTACAGAATGAATCTATAGTAGATATCAATCATCAGTTTCTTTCATCTCTAAATAATTGTCAAATGAAAAAACTACCCATAGAAGAAATGTGATAATATAATAATAAATATCTCCGTTATCAATAAATTATTTATTGGGACAAAAAACAAAATATTTTGATGAAAATTCATTGTTTATTTTTCATTATGATTGGATAATCTATTTCTGGATAGTGACATTTTTTAGAATAGTTCCTTTCCTTACAAATGTCTATACATATAGATGCTTGAAATGTCACCTATGTGTTATTCGCTATAATAATATCGACACCAAAACGCAAGAAAAGAACAGAACATAAAGAAGATAATAAAACCAATAAAGTCGTAAGCCAATGCATTAACCGGCGGTACGGTTGAACTTCTAGAGCATTGGTGTCGGCTAATATATCTTAAAAATTTTGTGGTTACTAGAGTCCATCGGGTCTGGATCGGATTCGATGAGCTCTAGTGGCTATTGGCAACGGCTTAGCCGATCGGTCTTACCAATCTGTTACGGATTTAACAGTTTATTACAGATAGTTCCGAAGATGCTTACACATATCTATTCTTTCATTCTGTAGTAAGTCACTATGAGTTCCTAGGAATGGAATCCGAAATTGACACCCCTAACTCTTGCAACATTCTTATTGTCCTTAATTGATATTGTTTATTAAATATATAGTGAAGTTTTGTTGAAATTTCACGAAAACAAATTATGCAAAGAAAAAAAACTTTAATATGTTCGGTATATATTTTTTGTTGTAGACATTTAATCATAGTTAGAAGTGATAATAGCGATCCGGTGCTCGTGCCAATTGTAAGCCAGTCGGTCTATCAGTCCGATATCGGTAGACTGGCTCCATCTATGCTATATATCAAGGTCAACTGACCTTTAACATTCAACATTTTTCTTTTCTATGCTTTCCTCTCTGATTAAATGAATAGATCTTTTTGAAGATCGGTATAAATTCTTGATAGTTTATAGGTTTGATTGATTGTAGGATTAATTTTAATAATTTAATATTCTATATTTTACCTGTTTTTCCTGCTCGAGCAGTTCGACCAACACGATGAATATAATGTTTCAGTGTATTTGGTAAAATAAAATTAATAACCTTAAAATAAATCATAAAATAAAAATAAGATTTCATTTGTATATATATATATATATATACCGTTTTAACATTTTCAATATCAAGACCACGTGCAGCTAAATCAGTTGCAATTAAAATATCAATTTCTTCATTTTTAAATCTTTTTAATGTATCTAATCTCTAGCAAAAAATAAAATTTCAAAAAACTAATAAAAAAAAAACAACATTAATTTCTATTTACTTGTGTTTGAGAAAGATCACCATGTAATTCACCTATTTTAAGTCCAAGTAAACCAAGCATAACATGCATACGGTGACATTGTCGTTTTGTTTGTGCAAATACAATAACACGATCATGAAATGTTCGTATAAGTAAAGCAGCAGTAATTGCTTCTCGATCACCTTCACGATGTTCACGAATACGAATAAATTCTTGACGAAGATATGGTGCAACTGATTGATTATCATCAATAAATAAACGAATAGGACGATTAAGTGATACTTGAATAAGATCTTTAATCTATATATCATAAGAGACAAAAACAAAAAAAAGTTAAAGATTTAATAAACAAATACTTGATCAGTCATTGTAGCTGAAAAAAGCATTGTTTGACGTGTACGTGAACAATTAGTAATAACTTCTTTCATTTGTTCAAAATAATATTCATCTAACATTCTAAGAAAAAACAACAAAAAATCAAATTTTGATAATTAAACAAAAGAAAATATACCGATCAGCTTCATCAAGTACTAATATTTCAATATTTTGTAATGTAAATGATGGTGAATTATGTATATGATCAATTAAACGACCTGGTGTTGCAACAACAATATCAGGTTGTAAACGTAATGCTGCTTCTTGTGATTTTAAATCCAAACCACCTAATAATATATGATATAAAACATGAATATGAACATGAAACAAAAAAACAAAAGATATACCAGTTGAAAGACACATATTTATATTATGAGTAAATTGAGTTAATTGACGAAATACCTGATGAATTTGAACACATAATTCTCGTGTTGGTGCCAAAATAAGTACACGTGTACAAGGTGCAGTTTGATGAGGTTTATAAAGAAGACGTTCAAGAATAGGTAATGCAAAAGCTATAGTTTTTCCTGAAATATAAATATAAATATATGAATTATTTTAATTCATCAATTGAAATGAGATTTATTAACATTTTCATAAATTCCATTAGTAAAAGAAATGAACATTTTTGCAATAACTCAAGAATGGAAACAGGTAGAGAACTACAATTTTTATCGTTCGAGAGAAGAGATGGAGATGCATCAAATTGTATATTACATTTATTCCTAGCACTTGTTTAGTCAATTTTCTAACGAGGGAAGTGCCCGAGGTATCCAACGCCAATTCGTTTTATGCATACGTCGTTTGATCGGGAGCATCGAGATACCAATTTTCTGCTTTTTTCCAGTCAAAATAGCGGAAAATTGAAAACCTTACAACTCAATCAAAAAGATCGTATATACTTGAAGGATATAGGTGTGGTCTCCTTGACACATACCCATATCTACGCCCGCACAAAAATCCTGTAAGTCAAGAATGAAACGACCAAATAATCTAAAATTTTCAGATTGATCAGCAGCGTGAATAAGCTTATAGTGCTGAAAATTTCAAGTATGTACAATCTTTTTGACTGAGTTGTAAGATTTTCAATTTTTGGTTATTTTGGCTGGGAAAAACAGAATATTGATCCTAACTTTTCAAGAAAGAGCTCTCAGCTCAAATCCTTTTAGACTTTCTACTATCTCGATGCCCTCCATCAAACGACGTATGAATGACGGGAATTGGCGTTGAACATCACTTCGGACGGTTCTCTCGTAAGTATTTTGGTTAAGGTTTGTCTCTGTAGAAAGTTTCAATTAAAAATTCGAAAATTATATTGGGTTCACAAGGAGATCTCGATAAGGTTAGAAAAATCCTAAAAGGATTCATCCTCATGGGCGTCTAGAATCGATTTATGGCCAAATTTTCCCTATAGATAGATCTTATGATTCTGGGAATATCCTAAAAGTTTCAACTGAAAAGAATTTTCCTTTATCACGATATTGAATTTCTAAAAAATGGTTGTTCGTCACAAAAATCAAGTTTACTTCAAAGTTCAATATTTCGAGAAAAGAATATTCTTTTCAGATGAAACGTTCAGAATTTCAGGCTATTTAGACTCTATATGATACACATGGTTACAAGAAGTAGATCTTCTGTGAAAATGAATTACCAGATCCTGTAACAGCACAAGCACATAGATCACGACCAAGAAGTGCAATTGGTACAGTAGCTGCTTGAATAGGTGTTGGTGAATGTAGACCTATTGCTGAAAGAGCCTAGACAATATAAAAAATTTAATTAATGATAAAAAGATTTTGATTAATTTCGATTTACTTTAAGTAATGGTCGAGAAATTTTCATTTCAGAAAAAACTTGATCAGGATTAAATGGTGGTGATTCTTCAAAGAATTCATCTTGCTAATAAAATTTACAAATTTTAAAAAATAAACAAAATCTTCAAAATTCTTTTTTTTTACTTTTTTATTTTTTGATGATTTTTTCTTTTTAGTTTCTTTTATTTTCATTTTATCTGTTATAGATTCATGTTCAATTTCCATTTCATATGATTCATCTTCAAGATTATTTGTTGATGATTGTTCATCTTCAACTTCAGATTTATTTTTCTAAAAAATAAAAAAAAAATAAAAAAAAAAAAATGTCAAATAAAATTTTACTTTTTGTCTTCGATTTCGAATTTGTGCAATTTTTTCATCAATTGTTGATAATTGTCCTCGTGATTTTAATTGATCATCATTATCATTTAATATTTTCTTTTCATCCGGATCATCCTAAATAAAAAAAAAATTTTTTTTTGCAATAAAAAATAAAGAAATAAATATGTTTGATTTTTGTTTACCAGAAGAAATTGAAATTGTTCATTAAAATCAATAGATTTTCCTTTTGTAGCCTGAGCTAATTTATGAGCACGAGGTTTTTCGATCATTTCATCTTCATCCTCATCACCAGATCCATCAAGATCTGGTACATCATTTTCATCATCATCATCAATTGTAGGAATTAAAGCAAGTGGATCGAAATTTTGTCGAGACATGATTTGATCTACAACAGAGAAAAATATTTAAATTCATGTTTTTTTTTTATTAATAAAATTTTCCATAGATTGAAACAAAATCTTTAAAGTAAATTACAAAAAAACAAAAAACTTATGATAGATTATTTATTATTCAGGTAAGAAATTTTCTTATGTGCCGAAAGGTAAATTTACCTAGCGAATAGTAAAAATTAAATCTTTTTTGTCCTCTAGGTACTTCTTCAAGGTCGAATAATAATCTTTATACATCAAATTTAGTTAAAAAGCTTTCAACATAATTATTATAGGCTTTCAAAAAATATGAAACATAATAGTTTTGTTTTGTATGTCATAATTTTATCTGTCACGTCTACGAGAGGAGGTGGGAGGGAGAAGAAGAAGATTGGATCTAAATTTCAATTTTTATATTTCAACACCACTTTTTTAGGATGGTATATTACAAAAATTGCCTCTCGTTTCATGATATAATTTAGTCAATCTATTTAAAGAAAATTTTATTTCTTATTAAATATGCAGAGTCTCAGGTCTACAGTTAGTCTTGAATATAAATATTATTTTGATCATACATATTTATAAATAAAACCACAGTTCGAAAAGTACTCACAGAAAAAAAGAAAGAACATAAATTTCAGATGTACAACACATATAATGAAATAAAAACAACAATCAGAATTATTAATAAATGATATACATTTCACAATACAATAAATTGACTATGAGAATAAATAATAGGAAAAAAGAAAACATATTTAACAACCACCTGTTAGATAAGAACAAAACGAAAAGAATCACCGTTTTAAGAAAACAAAAAGAAAATAAATTTTTTAAATTTATTCTCATTGTTGTTGTTGCTGCTGTTGTTGTTGTTGTTGTTGTTGTAAACGTTCATGAATTATTTCTGTTTCTTCAAAAATAAGTTGTTTTAATTGTGGTAATGGTAAATCATCAAGTTCCATATCAAATGTAAATGGTTGTGATACTGTTGGTTCATCTGATGGATCATAATATTGAGCAAGATATGGATGTTTAAGTGCTTCTTCAACGCTAACACGTCGATTTGGATTAAATGTTAAAAGATAATCAAGCATATTAAGTGATAAATCTGATGCTGTTGGATATAATTGTTTCCATGGTGTTCGTTTACGAACAGGTAATAAACTAACATAATTTCGAGCTCGTTCATTAACTAAAAAAAAAGAATTAAAATTTTCTATATTAAATTTTCTTTTTTATTTTTAATCTACCAATTGATATTAAATCAGATTCATCTGGTGAACCAACAATATTTAAAATTAAATTTATTTGTTCTATATAATGTTTACCAGGAAATAAAGGTCTTTAACACAAACAAAAAATAAATAAATAAATTTCCAAAAAACAAAAATTATTTAATAATTTACTTTCCACCAATCATTTCAGCTAGAATACAACCAACAGACCATATATCAATTGGTTTATAATAACCACGTGCATTAAGCATAATTTCCGGTGCTCGATACCAACGAGTAGCAACCTAAAAAAAATTTTTTTTTCATTCTTAAGAGAGCACACCAATCAAACATTTAGATTTTTTATGTGCATTTAAATGGTCATAGTCTAAAAATACAAAATCCAAATTTTTAACTCATTTAAATGTACTATAGTAAAGTTAGCCAATACTGACTTTTGAGTACTGTCAACTTATCATCAAAAATTGTACATTGCTGAAAAAAATGAACCACTTAAATTATTACATATGATCTCTTTACTGGGGTTTTTGTAGTCTAACATGAATGAGAAATGTCACAATTTATAAATTCAAAATGGTCGATAATCAAAAAATGCCAAATTTGAATTTTGTAAATATTATATAACTTTTGATTCTCTACAAACTGATAAAAAAAAGTTTACTTTCGAGGTGAAACACGGCTCACAAACCTCTTTTATTCAGAATCAACGTCAAAAACTACATCGAATTGAATAAATTCTAGAAAAATCACTTGTAATTCCCCCACCAGTCGTATTTTATTAAACTCTTGTCCTGTGATCCTCTAGGGATCAGTTTTTGACGCTAATTTCGAATATCATAATCGTGTCTTATCAATGAAAACCGCTAAAAAAAGTTTTGTTTCTTTTGAAAAATCATTAAAAATTTCGATGAAAGAGAGGTTCGTGAGTAGAACTCTCCATCGGATCTAAAAAAATACGAGTCGCTCTATTATTTTTCATGCTAATACATTATTTAACCGTTCATCTTATAGAGAAATCTTTTCTCTTTCTTTAGAAAAGCACTGCAATGCATTATAGCCAAAGTCATTTAGTAAAAAAAAAAATTCGGGTCCACATTTGGACTTAGTCGGGCTCGGACTTTTTTTATTGAATTATTTTGGCTATAATGCATTACAGTGCTTTTCTAAAGAGAAAAGATTATTCCACAAGACGAATTGTTGAGTAATGTATTAGCATAGGTCGTATTTCTTTGATCGAGTCCGGAAATTTTTTTTAAAAGTTATATAATACATACAAAATTCAGTTTCGTATCTTTTGATTATCGGCCATTTTGAATTTATAAATTGTGACATTTCTCACTCATGTTGAACTACAAAACTCCAGCAAAGAGATCATATGTAATAATTTAAGTGGTTCATTTTTTCAGCAATATACAATTTTTGATGATAAGTTGACAATATTCAGAAGTAAGGATTAGTTAACTTTACTATAGTACATTTAAATGACCGAAAAAATTTAGATTTAATAGTTTTAGACTATGATCTTTAAAAGATACATCAAAAAAAGAATCTAAGTTTTGACCAATGCCTTGGTCTATACTCGTTCTCTTAAATATTCAAATATAATTATGTATTTACATATTCAGTAAGAAGACCAGAATGATCTTTATTTGGATCAGCTATTCTTGCAAGACCAAAATCACATATTTTCAAGTCACAATTTGTATTTAAAAGTAAATTGCTTGGTTTAAGATCACGATGTAAACTATAAAAAGAAAAAAAAAAAACCAAATAAATTTTTATTTATTTATTAATAAATTTTTAACATACACATTTGCTGAATGTATATATTTTAATCCACGTAATATTTGATATAAAAAATAACAAATATGTTCATCAGTTAAACGTTGATGACGTAATAATTTATAAAGATCACATTCCATAAGACATTGCACAATATAAATATCTTTCATTTGATCAATTGTTGGTGCACGTATAACTTCTTGTATATTAATTATATTTTCATGACGAAAACGTGATAAAATTTTTATTTCACGTAATGTTCGTTGACAAAAACATTGATGTTCAAATGGTGTTATTTTTTTAATTGCAATACGTTGTTGTGTAAGATGATCGAATGCTGATGCAACCATACCTTTTTT